TATATATATATCTTTTATATAATATAAGGTGGCAAACGAGCAAGCGGCCACCTAAATCCACCGAAATGGAAAGCTACCGCTGCCCATAAACATCCGCAATTGCAGATGCGTTGCCTACCCTTCATTGACGGAAGAGGAGACGCACATAAAGAAGAAATTTTCCCTTTCTATACGTCTCCTCCACCGTCAAATCTACTTTTCCTTCCCATCCTTTCCTCACAAGAAAAGGGAAAGGGATATAATAGACAGGATTTAAAAAAAATATCCAAATATGATGTCAGGTTTGTATACGGCTACATAGACCTGATTATCTATACTTCAACCTACTGCGATTTAAAAATGCCAGGCCGAAAAAAACGAATTGAAACTTTTTTTAATTTTTTTTTATCAAGGTTTAGGAAAAATTATTCGACAGTTATGTAACTGTTAGACCTTTTTATTACTGTTATATTACATACGTAATTCACACGATAAAGTTCCAGTTACTTTATACTTTCTTAGAAGAACTCAAGGCAAGGACATAAACGACAACATTTCGTTGTTTGAGATTTTTTTGCTCGATATAGTGAAGTAGTCACGGGTCAGTGCACTCTCCGCACATCACACGAGACTTGCCGCTAAACTTACATCTTATATCGACATCGACACATAAAAAAAATTATGAGAGCATTCATCCAAATCAGATGTAAAAACTACCGTAACCCATCACTAATATTTACGAGCGATCGCCGACTTTTCTGGGTGAAGTTCATGACTTTTAGGCCAATCCTCCGTCTGTAGTGGTGGACGCTCGATTTAAGTATATAAGCTCGGAGAAATGCTCTCACTGTATCAGTTCCTTCAGACGTCGGCTGTCGTGTATTAGCTCCAACATGGCGGCCAGGCTCATTGTCACCCTGACGTGCTTCGCTCTCTGTCAATCCACCCCGGTCCTCTTAAACGGTAAGATAGTACCATCATTACAAAAGTTCAGGCAATTACTTGAATATTACAAACAACTATCGTTTATAAAAATAACCCTTAAGTTATAATTTTAACAAAAATTTTTATGCATTCTTTTTACAGGTGTAATATACCGCGAAGGACGCAACTTTCCGGTCAATGCTGCAAACATACCAAATGTCATCGACATACAGTTTCACCCGGGCCAGGGGTACGCCGAAGTATATCCAGGAAATGCTATCGCTCAAGCAGAAGCTTACGAATATCCCGTTAACACTGCTGCCTTCGCTTCGGCACATAACGGACAATATTTCCCTATTCCCCCACCGGCTACCGTAGTATCGTATCAAAACTTCGAAGCACCACCCGGTGTGGGATACATAATACCAACAACAGCGCAATCCACCGCCGCTGTTCATGGTAATCATGAGTTCGCCACATCCTCCGCTACCAACTATGGATCTGGTTCGGCGCAATCCTCTGCACAAACTCAGGGTACCGGTACATACGGAGTCACATCTAACACTCACGTCTACGGTCAAGGAGTCGGTTCGGCAACATCGACAGTGAACAACGGCCACGAAACGACTGTGACAACCGCTCAAACGCAAGGCAATGGATTGAGTTCAGCCACATCGAAAACACAGAGCGGTCATGGTACCACCTCGGCGGAAAGTCAAGTGAACGGTGCTCATGGTTCAGCCTCATCATCTGTAAAGCAAGCGTCAGGGAATTCTGTCGTTACATCAGCAAACACCCTGGGCCATGGATCCTCAGCGAGCGCTAATATACAAAAGGCGCCAGGAATTGGCTTCACCAAGACTACAAGCAAAAAAGGAGTTAAATGGCAATTCGGAACCCTGTATGGTACACCATCCAATGTTGCAAATGCTCATGCTCAAAGTCAATCGGGACCTGGAATTGCTCAGTCATCAGCTCAAACTATCGGCCACGGATCGGTCAATGCAAACGCTAATGCTAACGGAGCGGGACATTCCACTTCATCCGTCAATAACTACGGACACGGCCCTATTACCACTTCCGCTAATGCACATGGTCTTGGAAGCGCCACATCTAGTGCCACCGATGGACATAACTCTGCAAACTCGGTTGCCAGCACTGATTCTCATGGGTTACCACACATGGTTGCTAACCCTGTGGGACAAGTGCCTTCTTATTCCCCTAACCAGGGATACGGAATGGTACAATTGATTCCAAATGTCCACGTTCCAAATGGCTACGTACAGTCCGTAGCTAACACTCAGGGTTACGGCACCGCCAACTCTGCAGCCAGCTCGCAAGGACCCTATGGCCCCGTGCAGTCTACCGCTGACGTCAACGGTGCCGGATACGCGCATTCAGTTGCCAACGATAAATACGGTTCAGTGAACACCATTGCTAACTCAGGTCACGGTTCTGCCAAATCATCTGCCAACGTCAATCATTTAGGATACGGCTCAGTGAACTCCAATGCTAATGTGAATGGTGCGGGCTACGCTAACTCAGCGGCAAACAGCAACGGATACGGATCGACTGTCTCGTCGGTTACTGGTAAAGGTTCAAGCAGCTCCAACGTTATATCTCAAGGGCCTAATTATGCTGGATCTCAAACAATCGCCAACGCCCAGTCGTCTGGCTCGGGTCACGCCATGTCCTCAGCGAGGGCGCAGGGCGTGCACACCGCCTTCAGAGTTGTCAACTCGTCCGCTAACACCAACGGCTATGGGTCTGCTACTGCGAACGCGCAGAGTTTGTGAATAAGCGAATTGTACCCACGAAGCAATCACTTCAAGACGACTTAATGTTTACTTGTCTTGATGTTTTTGCAACATTCTTGCATTTATTAGAATTTAATTAAATTATTGCCAATCATGCCATGTTTAGTGTAATTGTTCATCATGAAATAAAAATGCTCATTTTTGTAATTAACTCTTTTAATGTTGAATCCCTTAGATCTAGTCTTACAAAAACATATCTTTACAAAATTGGTTCCAAAATAGTTGGGACAGACTACACAAAATGTTTATTATAAATTATTACAACTTGCCACGCATAAAAGGTTTTAAGTATTTGTGGAAGGTGTGGTTGACAGGCTCAGCATTGAGCGGACTCTTCATAGCTTCTTCCATCAGACGCTCATACGCCCGACCGTCGTAAGCGCCCAGAGTTGAGTTTAAGATCTGAAATATAAGCAAGTAAATTTTGTTTTAAAATTGAATCTATCGAATTCTGATATAAAAGGTTAAATTCTTAATATATTAAGTACTTATTTTTCGTAATTAATAATTTATCTCTGCATCTAGGTTTTTGACCGACTTCCCAAAAGAAGGAGGTACTCAATTCGTCTGTATGTTTTTTTTTTTTTTTTTTTTTTTTTTTTTTTTTTTTT